CACACACACAGTTTTTTTTAATCAAACCCTGAAAGTTTATTAAAAAAATAAATAAAAAAACAGATGACAATGATCAGTGATAAAACTGGTTTAATCGTTGAAATGTCTAAAAGTAAACAATTTAAAAAAAAATCCTTCCCCCACATCCTGTAATGGATTTATCAAGTTTCCGGTGTGTCATAAAGAATTATGGATGATTTTATCATAAGTAACAATCTAAAACATTTTACTTCATCTTTGCAGCTCTATTACAGTTTCTCTCTTCAGGAAAATTCCTCCACTCACCAGGTTAAAACATCTGGGCTACAGTAACTTGCCTCTAAGTCAAAAAGACGTTTGATTTATTGCTGCATGGCCAACAAACAACCTCAGTGCTCCGACATGACTTTATGAATGAACATCAAGCTGCTGGTCGTAAGAAAATTATTCAGGCCACCGAAGCCAAAGTGAGATCATCTAATAATTCAGCTACTGTAGAAGGTATGTCCCCTGTGAGCTCGACCAAAAGCCAAGACATGAAGTAATGGGTTTCTTGTGAAGAAGTTGTCTGGATCACCTGTGCGAAGCAAATGGAGAACTGATCTAACAGTGAATAATGGAGCCTAACAGGATTAAATGACAAATTAAAATACATTTTTATAGTGACTTTGTTTTTATTTTCGTGTAAATACAACTCCATTACATTTAGAACAATGGTTGTTTCCAATATCTGAATCTCTCCCTGATAAGTATAATAATTTATACTGAAACCATAAGGACCCTGCCTATAGGACACAACAAGGGGTGTCGTCCGGGATCATCAGACCTTTTTAGCCTGAATCATACACTGACGTCTTTTTCCAAGTTTAATTCAAAATGTTTACTGATGAAGCGGACTTTGTCTTGTCAAAGCTGATGGGCTGTGCTTCTACTCCATATTTGGTGTTTTTGCTTCACCTAATTTGTAGCAACACTGGAAAGGCTCATGAATTTACGAAGTCAAGTCAAATAAATAGAGCCTGTCAATTGTATCAAATACAGTAAATGAAATAAACAAAGTGGATATTCTGGCTTTAAAACAGTTAACTACATGCACAACTGACCAAACTATGCACAATAATTTGACTTACAGAGTTTTTTTTTGCAAGAGATGCAATACAAAGGAAAAGATGAAACGTGATTCTGACAGCTGTGCTCCACTTATGGTACTATACCATCTGTAAATGCTGCCTGAACTTGACAGTAAAAAAAAAAAAAAGTTTCTCCAAACATCTCAGGTACTGATGAAGTTCTATCCAAAAACAACTTGCGTTTTCCCCTCCGAGTGAAGCCAGTAAACAAAAACGGCTGTAAAAACAGCAACCTACGTGTGTTTGCCAGAAAAATAAACTGCACGGTAATAAACAGTTATTAATGCCAATATTTTTGTGTTTATATTTACGGTGGTCTGCACAAATCACAACTGAACAGCTTATCTGATCTGTGGCCTGGGTAGATTTATAAATGCCTTAAAAATTGGGCTGTTTGACTCAATGCAGAAAAATAAACATGGTAAAAAGCAGGAAAAAAAAAAAAAACTATGCCTGGAATTGTAAAAATAGTTTGCTTGTTTCTACATTTCATTTTTACATGCCACCCTTTGAGAAACCCTGTTGAAAATATCTAATTTAATGATTTCTAAACATTTGGGAGTCGGGAGCTGTTCACACAAGAACTCAAAGGTCAGAGGTCAGTGGTCCAAACTGGTCAGTGATTGAGTAAATCAAATACCACACTGTGACATAAATATAAAATGAAGAGCAGGCGAGGTCTATGATGGCATCATGCTGTTTTAACTGGCAAGCCTTACTGACTAGAAATAATGAACGTTGTCTTCTTGGCTTTGCTCCGTGTCTCTGACAGTTATTCCCACTCGTTGAACTGCTGAGTGTCTAAATGGCCTGTTTGTCATCACAGTGTGTGTGAATGCAGAGGTCAAAGCGAAGGAATGTGGTCATGTGAATAAAACCAGCAGTCAGCAGGGACGTGATTAAATGTTTGCCCAGAAAGATGTCTGAGAAAAATGACCGAGACAACAGTGACCTCTCAGGAGGCAAATGCTTGAATGAAGCGGGGTATGTTTATGTTTGTGTATAAGTTGAAGGATAGAAAAAAAATAATAACTTACAGCCGCCATGGAGTTAATGCGGTCTATGTAGTAGTCGGGCCAGCTGGTGGCCAGTTTGTTGGGGTCCTCTTGTTCCTGCACATGGACAGAAACCAACTCAGTCAAACACACATACAGTATCATTTCTGGTACCGTGTAGTTCAGATGATTTATGAATATGTAAACAGTTCCTGCTGGAACACATTTATTTTTGCTGCTCTGACCACATTCAGAAGTTTGTATCACATTCACCATGTTGCAAGCAGTAATCCTTTTATTACAAGCACGTCACCGAACGATACACATTTTTTTACAAGTCCAGTAGGTGGAAATTTTGAGGCTTATGTGTTAAAGGGTTAAACCAATGTATTTTCCTTTGTGCTTTGAATGTCAGCCAGTTCAACCTACAAACAACGGCAATTTTTTTTTTCAGCAACACATAGTGAATGATCATCATTTACTTCTCTATTTTTAAGTTATTCTGAGAAAAGAAAAGAAAAACGCTGTAATGCAGCTAAACTATAAATCTCACTCATCATTGTGTTCTGACCTGTCTGTAAATAAAAGATGCTACAAGCAAACATGGCGCAAAATGCAGGTGAAGATTCTCAGTTATTCCCAAAAATAAAAAATAAATAAATAAACTGGACTTCTATTCTGAAAGGTGAAAAGCTCCACAGTCACATGCGGCTGTTTGATAAAATCTCAGAGCACTGATGAAGCCTAATTCTCGTCTCTAGAAATTTGTGGAGTTGAAGTGTGTAAATCAGTTCAAATAAAGACACACAAAATGAACATTTGATTATATCTTATATCTGTGTTTCCCAATCTTAGAAAAAAACCTCCTACAAAAGAAAAGTACATTTGTTTTCTTGTTATGTGGTTGAAAGGCAGGGCAATGACTGACCTCCGACTTTGTTTTCCTCATGGTTTGTCATTTTATTAAGTGTTTCATCTTTTGAAAACATAAATAAATAAATAAAAAAAAATTTAAAAAAATCAGATTACCTTCGTATGAGTCTATCAAAGCCTAAACTTGAACTAGCTTCATTCCTCTTATGACTTTATTTTGTACAAAACATAATAAAGACAACATTTCAATGGAGGCATTTATTTATGATGGCAGCTGTTAAAAAAGTAATGGGTGGTAAGCCTTAACTATTGTAATTTAAGATTATTTACTCTTCAAGGGTGTTCGTTCTGCTTATACCTCATTAATTCTGTGTTCCTTTCCAATAATGCAAATCAATCATTAAAACTGTGGCTTTAATATTTGTTCAGTGGCAGCACACAGATTCAAGTTCCCCATTCTGTTGATTAAGTCAGACAAACTCTACAATGTGACCAGCTTGAATTGATTTTCATGGCACATAAAACCTAATTGTAGATAAAAAGATTCAAATGCAGACATAAAAATGAACTGCAGATTTGAACAATATTCACTATAAACGTTACAACTTTCCTGGACTGAGCACAAGTTTGGTCAACCTAGATTTTAGTCCCAGTAATGACCATTGTTTTTGAGCCCCAGCACTCTGTGCCAGCACGCACATTCATTTAAAAGCTGGAGAACAATGGCGCTCACTGTACTGCGCAGTCTGTGTTTTCAGGCCGGCCGTCTTTTCCAGTGTGTCACTGACACGCTCAGGACGCGATGCCAGACTGATCCTTACGCGGAGATTAACAACTTAACTGCCTTTTTACAACCCCTCAGCCAAATTACAGCCGCCGAAACATTTGTTTTGGCAGTTTTACAAGCGGTTGTTTTCATCATGTTTCAGGACAGATTAAAAACGATGACAAGAAGGTTTGTTTTAGGGGTCCCAGTCATATCAGTCTACACACTTCCTGAATTTAGATCCTTATAATGAAATTCTTTAGCCCTGAAGTGATGTGAAGTTTGCTCTTGTATTGTTGGCTTGACCTCACAGCTCTAGAAGTTAATCACAGTTGATGACAGGCATTAAAGTGATACGATAAGAAACCAGACTTCATTGAACAATACTTGGGAATATTAGCAACATCTGTAATGGAATAGAAATGCTGTGCTTGTTTTTGTGTGTATGAAACAGCTTAATACACTACAAAAGTTAAGATTTCCTTTTTGGCTAATGCTCCTCCACAGGATGAATGTATTCCAGTCGCGTGTACAGCTGCAGCAGCTTAAGGTCAAACCTGTCATTCTCCTGTAGCGTTTACACCACACAGTTCTCATGTTTGGTGAAATTAAATGTGATTTACAATGTGCACAGCAGCAGAGAAAGACAGAAATCCCCAATAGCATATCGGGTATATATATCTGTAAGGTGTTTTTCTTATTACAACCATCTGCTGAGAAATATATTGTGCCTCTGAAGACCTGAATACCTGACATACGCCAGCGCTCAGACATATTTCTCTAACTGTTTGGCAGTTTATTGTGTTTGCAGAGGCACCTGTAGAAAGACGGGATGAAATTACAAACTTCAGCTTCCCTGCTGTCACGTAGGAAGCAGCCTTACAGATTTCAACCCCCTTCAGAGGTTTCACTGACAATCATAACAGAGTTCACAAATTGCAGGAACCCTGTGCTCCTAGCTTTCAAGTCAACAACTCAAGAAGAGGAATTTCATCTACTGTACTTAGCAGGTCACCTTCAAACCAAAAGCACCCTGAGGTGTTGTGACAACATTCTCCTGTTTACCTGACTACTTCAATGATGGCCCAAGGTAAGAGAGACAATTAATAAAGTGATGAAATGATGCATGGTGCTGTACTCTAGAACATCCCTGTGGTATACACTCATATCAACATGACCTGGACAGCATTGCGTTTTAATTTTTTGACAACCCCAACTGTTTGGGGTCTTAGAACCACGATCCATATTCTAGTGATGCAAAGCAGTCCCCACAAAGTCTCTTGTTTCTCTGTGGATTGGGCTTATTGCTGGGCATCTCGCTTTCTGTTCTAATGTTTCCAGAAAAGTTTGATGGCATTCTGCCTGTAAATTGAAGTCCCTTGATAAAAAGTCTAAAGCCATGAGAGCGCTAGCAAATAGAAGGCCGGATACAAAACTTCTGAGAGTAAATTCAACAAAGTTAAGTCAGGTCCTCTGGACAGTTTATTTTTGTTGAAACATTTCGTCTTTCGTCCAAAGGACTTCATCAGTCCGAGGAGCCACAACAAGCCCAGGCTTAGAAATAGCACCTTCACATAGTGGGTCACTTGGGTGTAACTGGGACCTTGAGTACACAATTTCGTTCCACCTCAGATCACATGTGATGCGAATGACAATAAAGGACCTTGAATATGAATTTCAACTCTAACCAGTTTGATGGTGCCAAGATGATTTTTGGCATCTGCCCTCTCCCCTGCCAAGTAGTCTGAGGCAATCATGACCAAAGTAGCTCAAAATATCCTGATGGTTTATTTTAACCCTGGTTGATCCACTATGTGAAGGTGCTATTTATAAGACTGGGTTTGTTGTGGCTCCTCGGGCTGATGAAGTCCTTCGGATGAAAAACAAAACGTTTCAACAAAAATAAATCATCCAGAAGACCTGACTTTTGGGGATTTTTATACCTGGATTATTGAGCATGAACCTTGCTATTATGAGAGTGCTGTATATATTAAAGGGCTGCAGGCAGATCAGTCTGAAATATTTTAGCCTGAGGGTAGGCAGTTATAAGATGTACTGAATATGGTTTTGTATCAGTTTGCTTAAATAAGCAATGCTTTCCATGAAACATATGATAAATGATCCACAATTTTATAATGCCTTTATAACTTCTCCAAGTTTTGCAAAGAGCTTTACAATAGTTCTTACACACCAGTCACCATGCACCCATACTGAACATTTTTTATATACATCTTACACTGTATATACAGCACTTTTTTCAATATCAGATTCTTGCCCAAAGATAGGTTGGCACACTGCTAGGGCAGGGGGGTTTTGATTGGAGAATGACTTTTCTGCACACTGGGCCAAGCTAACATACTGGTATGTTGTCTGGATGTGTAGAAAATCAAAAAGAAACCTTGTTTTAAACCCAGAAACTTTTCTAAAAAGTTCAAAATTAAAACAGCACCAACAACAAGCAAACATCTAAATAAAATACTTCTAAAACATGAAAAAAAGATTCAAAGAGTTCTGATGGAAGAATGTCATTGATTTATTTTGCTTGTTTGTATGGGTCATATTTATTTTTTAAAGCACACATTAAAAGTAAACCTTCAGTTGGAACACATGGACCCCTATCATTTATCTCTCAGGACATTTTCATATTTTTTTAATATTTTTAGGACAAACTAAAATTATTTAAGTTCTTAAGAACATTAAACATCATGTCTTAGGTAGTGTGAGGGGAGGAGATTAGCAAAATATATACTAGTTTGTATGTAAATACACAGTGCTGTAAAAAGTTATGAATGTTATTAATGCCTCAGTGAAGTAGCATTAATATTGCATAACGGCACTAATCTCTACTACTGAATATCTGAATGCATTAGTAGTTATTTAAGTCAATATTTTCTCAATATTCTAAACTCAAACATCACCGGATTATGTCCCCATCTGTAGAATGAGCAGGATTCCAATAAACCAATGTGTCCATGGAGAGTATTTATCTACTGAAGCCAGGATATATGGTCTCACCTTGAGAAGCAGGAAATGGACAGGATATTGAATTCTGAAAGGTTATGCAACACATGCACTCGTTATTTTTTTTCTCCTTCCAGATAAGTATTAAGGGGTTTTTGCACTCACTCTAGCAGATACATTTGCATTGGATGACATTAAGAGGTAAAGATAAAGTGCATTTGGATGATAACTGAAGTCATAAGTTCAGTCAGCTTGAGTTACGTAACAGCATCCCCAACAGCTTTTGAGATGTCTTAGAACGGGTGGCATTTTAAACCTTTCACTTTTTTTATTTCATCTGTTTCAACTATTTTGAACTTAATTTGTAGAAAAAAATATTTGGAAAAGATCAATTTTAAAATGAGATTTATCATCATTTATTTAGTATTCAGTGTTCAAAAGTTTTGATAAACAAAATCATAGTTTGCTCCAGGATGTAAAATTTGACCATAGCTTGAAAACACAAACGTGTGTTTGTATGTCAGTGCAACATGACTAAAAGGAGTCAGGAGACCCTACTTGGCTTCCAGCAATGGACAGCTATAAGAGATATTAGATGTTACAAAAAGTTTTTTTTTTTTACCTGGGGGTGACTCCAGACAAGTCATGCAAAAACAAGTACACACAAATCCTCACAGGATTGAATGCAACATGTTCCTAGAAACACACAGTCTATGTCCTTATTTAAACTACACATAATCTGAGCAATTCGTTCTTGGGCTAACCAAAATGACAAAGTTATGGATGAAGCTCAAGTGCAGATTTTAAGTGCAAAAATTGTCTCAATGATTCAGCACTATAATATAAAGAGCTCATACTGCCAAATCCATTTAGTCCTTAGTCCTGCTGGGTTTTCGGTCTCATTTAGGTTATAAAAAAAAAAAAAAAGTTTAAATGTATCACAGCTTGGTTTGAAATCCTTAAAATATTCAAGATTAATATTCAGGTTTCTGGATTTTGTAAAAAAAAATGACAACTATATTAAATTATTTTGTTTTATTTAAAACTGGTTGTTCACATCTAAGGCAGCTTCTCAGCCGCATCCACTACAGTTTGTTAGTAGGGAAAATTGACCTCATGACAAGGTGCTGACAAATGTCGAATTGTCAAATTTTACTTGTAATAATTTAGCTTTCACAATAAATGTATTAGTTTTCAAACTGCCTGGTAAAAACAGTGGCCCTAAAATGCAAAACATAAGAATAAAAAGAAAAGAAGTTGCGCAGAACAATATGGCTTAAAAATACATGCATTTTATAAAGAGTCAAAACAAACAAAAAAATAAATAAATCACATTGTCTGATGTGTTTTTTTTTTTTTTGTTTTGCTCTTTAAAATGTGTGCTTTTTAAAGTTATGTTATGGCAAAGTTCATGCTCTATAATCCAGGTACAAAATCCAACAAAGTTAATTCAGGCCATCTGGATGTTTTTTTTATTTTTTTGTTGAGACGTTTCGTCCTTCATCCAAAGGACTTGGTCAATCCAAGGAGCCACAACAAACTCAGTCCCACAAGCAATACACTCGCATGGGACCAACCAGTTTGACGGTGATAATCTGGTTTCTGGGGCCCGCCCTCGTTGACTCATCTGAGGCAGCCATAGCTAAAGTGGTTGAGCATGAACTTTGATGTTTTGAACCACTTTGGATATGGATATGATAAAGTCCTTTGGATGAAGGACGAAATGTCTCAAAGAAAAAAAGGTTTAGACAACCTGATGACTTTGATGGAAGTTATGGTATGCCTTTTGAGTTCTTGTTTTGCTTTGCACCCATGAATCAGTGTCATTAAGGAACCAAATTACACCAAAGAAAATAATATTTAGTTACACCACCAACATAGAACAAGTATGGCAGGTTTTTGCTGCTTGCTGGACTAATTCAACAAAACTTTGCTCTTCATGGTATTCCCCAGATTACTCCAAAATGCACCAGTCAAAAGTTACTTGTGTTGAGCAGTTTTTTTTAGGGGAACAATGCTAGATTCACTGTTTCTCTGACAAAGTGTTACTTAACCACAACAACTGGAGCTGTCGCACCACTGGTGCAAACAAGGAAACCAGTGTTTGTTTCGGACAGACCAGTCGAAGCAAAAGTCTGTTCTCCATTCAAATCGTAGTCTTGTGTTACAGTACTTCCCAGCAAGAGAGGGCACTACTGTGTGGTGCACTTGTGTATGAATAACCTGCAGTGGTGCCTTTTTCCTTCCAACTGTATGTGATTCTTCGTGCTTATGTGCATGTGAAGGGAGGTTTCATGTCTTCCTGTCTGCATATATATATACACACACACAGGTTATTATCTGATATTGCACCCCAGTCATTTTTTTTTCTTTCCCCTTATTCTCCATTACACTGCCTCGGTCCATGAATGAGGGGTTTGTTTGGATTTTCCTCCGGCTTTCCGCTGTTCAACGTTACTTTGGTTCTGCTCTCCGTTTCCTGGCCTGGTCACGATGCCTTTTTTTTTTTTTTACTTTAGCTTTGCAGAGGAAATGATTTCTGACTGGGAGAGATGGGGGTGGTATGACAAACTAATATATCCTAGCTCTGAACTCGGCTTAGCTGTGCACAATTCCAAAGTGCCTATGCTGTTGCCAAAATTTTGTTTCCACTACCTTCTACTATGGCACAGACAGTCCTCATAAATGTCTGTGGTTGCTTAAGTGAGTTATTCAATAACTGATTCTGGAGTATTATTAAACTTTTTTGTGGCTTTACATGTGCAAAAGAAAATTATGCCAAGAATCCAATCCCATTTGACACTATGCAGAGCATTCAAAGAAACACCAGCTTATCATAATGTAATAAAAGACAGACTATCATCCTTTTTTCATTTTTCCTACTTATAGAGCAGCATCCATCCTCACCCTGACATCCCTCTAAACCCTTCCTCTTTATTTTATTTTACTAGTAATTTACTACAAATCAAAAAAACAAAAAAACATGCAGGTGAACAGAAATGCATGTGAATACACAAAGCAGTGCATGTTTACTCCCTTTAAAGGGATTGTCAGATCACTTCTTTTGCAGCACAAATGCCCTCCTGGCCCCAGTTCTAAGGCCCCCCAATTTCTTAATATTGCACATATCAAATGCTGGAAAAACTATTGTGAAACATCCTGATGTCGTCATATGCGGATATGTTTACGTCAAAGAAGAAATTAAAATCAGGAAAGGGAGCTGGCTGTGTGGTCGAGCTGATTTGAAAATGTTAGAGGCATTTTTTTCCCCACATTCATGGCTGACATTTAACTCTAAACTGTGGCTTCAGGCAGCCAGTCAACAGAAGGCCATCCAGAGATCAGAGCTGATGTATGATAAAAGTACAACAGAGGCCAACTCACCTTTTTCTTGCTGCAGTAGATCTGCCATTTCTTCTCATCTGGCAGAGCAAACATGGCCTCTCTGTTCTTATCTGTCAAGTCCAGCTCATCCTGAAAAAGAAAAAGAAAAAAAAATCAAGAGAAGATTTACCTACAGAGCTCATTAATGTGCAGGAAACAGTGATTAGGAAAAGACATACAGAAAAAGTTATAACTGTCATGTATACTGCCTGGCCAATAAAAAAAAGTTGCCACCTGGATTTAACTAAGCAAATAGTTATGAGCCTCCTATTGGATAATTAATGCATGGGTGATTATCTTTCGGCTGGCAACAAGTTATTTAACCCCAACTGGTGCAATAAGTTGCTTCTCATTTCTTAAACAACCATGTTATCTTCTTTGTTTTTCATCCCCACATCCATTACATCTGAAACAAGCCCAAAGCAAATTCTAATAAAATTTAATTTATATATCAAGCGGAGCATTAAGGCCAGCCATAATGCTCTGTTTGTGAAAGTAAATCTGTTGGACATCACTTTGACACTCAAACAATAATTCTAAGTGTCACAATGCCGGACAGGACAAGGGAAAAAAAAACGTTGAAAGACACATCGTGTGGTCATGGAAAATATGTCAGTCTGTTTGAGAAGGGTCAAATCATTGGCATCAAGCAGAGAAAACGTCTAAGGAGATTGCAGAAACTGCTAAAATTGTCTTAAGAACTCTCCAACACATTATTAAAAACTGGAAGGATAGTGGGGACCCATCGTCTTCGAGGAAGAAATGTGGCCGGAAAAAAAATCCTGAATAATCGTGATCGGCGATCACTTAAACGTTTGGTGAAATCAAACCGAAGAAAAACAACAGTAGCACTCAGGGCGATGTGTAATAGTGAAAGTAAGAGCGTTTCCACATGTACAATGTGAAGGGAACTCAAGGGATTGGGACTGAACAGCTGTGTAGCCTTAAGAAAATCACTAATCAGTGAGGCTAACTGAAAAAAAGGCTTCAATTTGATAGGGAGCATAAAGATTGGACTCTGGAGCAATGGAAGAGGGTCATGTGGTCTGATGAGTCCAGATTTACCCTGTTCCAGAGTGATGGGCGCATCAGGGTAAGAAGAGAGGCAGGTGAAGTGATGCACCCATCATGGCTAGTGCTTAGTCATCAATGCAAGATCTTGGTGAAAAATTAACGCAACACTGGATGGAAAGTGTTTTTTTTTCTCTGTGACCTGGCGAAGACAGACGTGTCCTCCTGTGCTCCATCCCCTTGCTTTTTGCTCTCTTTCATCTTGTGAACCCTTAAAGAGCCTCTTTATTTTTCCTGCATACCTTCTTTATTCGAAGGATTTGATCAGCTGGTCTCTCAACAAAAGTGATCACCTACCGACAGGAGTCAGGGTAAGTAGGACCCTCTTATCTCGATGGAAACAAATTAGATTCATGATGACAAGTTAGATTCTGCTGTTTCTACAGCCTATGCTACAACCTTCCCTTAAAATTCAGTCCTCAACAGCCTATATGTATCATGTGTATTTATGCGCCATGTTGTGGTAGGTTTTTTGATGCCTCAAATCGTGCCCTGTCTAGGACATGGTGTGAGAGATCGTTTTTACACATTCTCTCCTCATGTTTTCTTCCCGTTTCCCATCTAGCAAAAATATTATTCTGAAGAATAAGAGGGCCGCGCTAATTAGCAGCAGCTTCGTGCACTACGTCAATCTTTCGGACGACTGTACGTATATGCTCTTGTTGTACCTCGGTGCAATGATAAAGCTTATTCTGATTCTGAAATAGATCTTGTGACATTGCAGAAGCTTAATGAAACAATGCCACAGAGAATGAATGCCATAATCAAAGCTAAAGGTGGCTTTTTTCTTTTTTGGCCAGGAAGTGTATCTCATAATATTCACAGTACAAAAGAAAACATTTTTAAAAAGGGGGCACAGATCACAGGATATGTAAAGTTTACACAGAAGTGTTTAATGGTTCAACCTTCCCATTGTCTGGTTGAGGGCTGTCTCCAATAACTGCAGAAGAGTTATTAACATTCACTCTGCTGCTCTGCTCAGTTCTTCAACTTAATGCAAAAAGCCCCCTGCACCTTTTGAAATGCATATGAGCCCAGGAAATGAGTCTGTGTGCCAGCAAGGAAAAGTGAAGTCTTGGAAAAAGGCGACGGATAAATGAGACTTGAAGGGAGTCAAATGTAGGGCGGGTGAAGAAAGAGAGACATTGAAAACGAGGAAAGTGTGGATGTGGAAACTAATGGGACAAATAATAAAAAAAAAAGGATGAGAGGCTTCAGCACTGAGGCTTTGTGCTCAACTCAAACTAATCTCTTTATAATAACGGTGCTACCATGACGTCAGCAGTGGGGCCTCCTGGGATTCCCAGAATGAAGATGGCCATTGGTGACAGAGGTGGGGCCTCTTTAAGCCACCCATTTTTTTACCCACCAACTCTGCTGGTCAGGGTGAGTTGAGGCAGCCTAAATTTCAAGAATTTTACTCTATGAGGAATGACATCATCTCTCACCCATTCCTTTCAATGTGATAAACAGCAGACGCCTTACTGTGGTTTTGGAAAACAGAAAAGAAAAAAATCTTAAGGGTGTGAATTTAAAGGAGGCCTGATGCTGATGGAAACCACAAAGAAGCTTTAGAATCGTTGGTCAAAGCATTTCTTATTCCAGCAGCATGATTTCAACGGTTCCTTGTGACTCGCATGAAGAGCTCATCATTTGGGGTCTACAGTGCCTGCTAAGATAAATACAATCCACTTTCAGTTTAAGAGGGGGCTAAATATCTAAACTCTGCCTCAATATCCTCCAAGTTCAACAGATTTTTCTCTCCACTCGGATCACCGTCTTCTCTCTGGATCCTTGGGCTCAGAAATGGGATTGTTAGAATCCAGCTAGTCTCTGGCCAGTTGCCTGGTTGCTGGGTCAAAGCCCTGCTGTCCAAGTTGCTACTCTTTGGAGGAGCTAAATTCTGGGAGCTGGTGAGAATCTGTGGGAATGAGACCCCTGGATGTAGACCAGATGGGAGTTGAGCCCAGCATCTGATCTCTATGCAGCTTGCGTTCTCTCTTCTGCTACTACTAAAGCTTCTCAGTTTGAGGGCTTTATGTGAAGGGGAGAAATGCAAGAGCAGGATAAAGATAAGTGAGAATTTAGGCAAGTGGGAGATAAGCATTCTACAATATTATATCCTAAATTATAATTTAATTAGACAAATCATTTCACAATCACAGATCCCTTTCACTGGCTGCCTGGACCTGATGGCAACCTGTTTTTGGAGGAAACCAGAGTACCTGGAAAAAGTCCATGCAAACATTAAGAGAACATGCAAACACCACACAGAATGACTCCTGGCTCAACCCTGGGCTTGAACCCAGGACGGTCTTACTGTGGGGCAACAATGCTAACCACCAAGCTACTACACTGCCTAAAAATACTGTATGCTGTGCAATATTTAAATACAAACTTCATGGAGTTACCTACACATTTTAAAACACTGTATGCCATGGATACATGCATTGCACATCATGTTTAACACTCAAAACAGCCATATTTATGTGTTGGATGAGATGGTGGATGGTGCTACACACTCTGTCAAGCAAGTTTGAGTTTTGACAATTTCTGCTATAAAGTTACTTTACCTTGAAGTGTCTTAATTGTGGCTTTCTGTTGTAATACATACTAAGAACATAAATAAGTTCCATTTATTCAAGTTTGCTCACCTATCTGTGGTGAGGTTGTGGAAGCAACAGTTTCAGAAGCACAGTCTAGACATTTGTATTCCCATTGATTGGGAATGCTTTGAAGGAACTGGGAACAGTCAAGGAGAAATGCATAATCTCTCCAATGAGTTCTGGGGTCTCTCACCACATTTGAAAATTCTACAAGTTAAAGTAGCTTGGCAGAATTCTGATTAGTCCAAAACAATTCAACAGACTTATTTTAATGTATAGGAGCTGCAGCTCTACTTGGAGCACGTTTTGTCTTGGACCATCTTATTGTATTGAAAGGGAAAATACTGAGTTAAGATCCACTAAAATTGTAAAAAAAAATAAAAAAATAAAAAAAGTTCTAGTCACGACAATATGATAACTTTTCCTCCCCGACTTATGCATTTTTGCTCAGTTTTCCTAAAGCCCCATGTTCCAACCATTTTCCAAACACGCACCTACATCACTTCCACATCACGTGGCTTAACTCATGACTTGAGCAACACACCAAAACACGTGCGGTTTTTTTTTTATTCTTCCAAAACAAAAATACTTTCTTCTTTGCTAAGTGAAACCTTGCTTTGATGTGTCCTCTCCTTTTCCAATACCAGTGCATTTCAGTAGGGAAATCGTACGAACCAAAGCCAATATTGTTTCACCTGCTGCTTATGAAGAAAAGCACATGACTCCAAATCTTTTCAAATTTTATGCACAGCAGCCAACCACTGCTACATTTTTTTCATTTTTTTTTAAGCTGTGAGCTTTGATTGCCATTTTTGCTGCATAACAATCTACTTTGTTGCTTAATTTCCGGCTCATAAAGCTTAGTGGGCTTCTCAAATGTGCTGAAAAAAGTCTGAAAATATTAACGGGTTAAATTAAGGCAACTTTTATAAATTGAAACAAGTTTTGAAACATTTTGACTTGCGAAGTTGATTACAAGCAGAGCTGCAAAAAGGAAAAAAAGTGCAATAATGTTACATGTTGTAATGATTGAATGTTTGTGATAAACAAATAGCATACTGTTCTTGTTTTTCTAATAATAATAATAATGAATTTAATTTGTAACACACTTTTCATTAACAAAAATCTCAAAGTGCTATAAAGTGCAACTAAAATCAATGACAAAATCAACTAAAATCAGTGATAAAATCATGTGGAGGCAGAATAGGCTTGCTTAAAAAGAAAAGTTTTTCAGCCTTTTTTAAAGTCAACCAATGATTGTGGAGCTCTCGGATATTCAGGGAGGGAGTTCCAGAGGCATGAGACAGCCACACAGAATGCCCGATCTCCCATGGTCCTTAATTTAGTTTGTGGAAGAAGAAGGAGATGACTGTTCTGTGATCGTAGGGACTGGGTAGATGAATATGGAGCAAG